CTACTTCCTGCCGTCTTGCTCATTATTTCGCTAGAAGTAACATCTGGATCTGGTTGTTGAAACCTTGTGTGATGTGAACAAAGTGTTTTCATTAAGCACATTTATTTTTGTAACTTCAATTTGTGCAATTTTATGGTTAATAGAAAGCCATCTACTGTCTAAACTTGTTCTAAGTTTTATCCAGCACTGATTCCAGCCACAAACAGCAGCAAATGTAAAGATGCAATGGGTCTGCTTGAGTGATAAGATCTGGTAACCGAAGCTTTCTGGGCTAATAATGACAGTGGGTTAACAGTGAGGATGTTCATTACTCAGCAACACAAACACAGAGGCCTACCTGAAGAGCATTTGCTTGAGCATGCGGTTAGCAGTTGCCACACGTGGCAGTCTGCCTGTGGACAGGGAGTGCAGCTCCAGGTTGGACGAGATGATCTGAGTGGTCATCTCAGTGTCAGCAGCGGTTCCTGCACCGCAGCAGCTGGACAACACCACAAAGGAGCAGTAAGGAGGGGGTTCACTATTTCTGCTATAATCTAGCAAAACCTCCATTCAGAGAGGCTACGTAATGCATAAATTAAGGATAAAGGAAGAGCTGAGCTGTCACTTACTAAATGTTGGGGGAGATATAGTGGATCTTGGAGCAATTTTTATCAGCCACCACCATGCCTTCAGTGGCTCTGGTGTCAGCGCCGAGAACAACTCCATCCTGAACACAAAATCACATCATCATCTATGGAACTGCTTGATGAGCTGTTCTCAGTTAGCTAATCCTCAAGCAATTTTTTGTGGATTCAGAATACCTCTGCTCAGGCTCAATAGGTTTAAGCCAGCAGTTTAAGAGATGAGTCGAGTCTTTTCGTTGTATGTTATTTACAAACAAATCCAATATGAATTAGTTGATGTAAAAGGTTGCAAACATTACATCATCATGTTGAAGAAAAAGAGGAACCAGACCAGACAGAAAGCTTTGACCTGCAAATCCCCCTCTTTTTTTCTTGATGCTGGCATACTTTTACGTTATTGTAATATGGAAACATGGCATAGCAACCGACAGTACACATTAATCTAATCATGAATTTTCTGCTAGCATGGTTTATCAGTGCTTTTTCATCATGCAGTAACAGATACTAAACTAAAACCCATTAACAGTTTTGTTCACTTGTGAGTCTTTTTGAATAAAAGTCGTAGGTAAAACAATGACAAAAGACATATGCAGAGTTGTGGGAAGATGCTCTTGTTCTCCCATGAATCCTGTTCTCCCCAGTAATCATAAACAAATAAATCACAGCGCTCTGTGAATTACATCAATCTGGCTAAATATCCTGAAAGATGAATCAAAAAATAGAAAACAGGCTGGAAAAAAAAAAGCATAGAGCACACAGGAAATGAGTAACTTCAACAGGATGGGAGAAAATAAAACAATTTGATCGGATACGATCAAATCGTATCCGATTTGGTGTGAAGCACACCGTTACAGTGCTTCACACTGTTACAGTGTGAAATGAAGCACAAGGAGCCAAGCCAAAGCATACATGTCCCTCCACAAAAAAACGCTAAATCAATACATAGTGAATTCATTATTGATTCTTGCCAGAAGAAAGAATTACACAATGAGATCAAATTACAGGAACTAGAGAATTATCATTTTTATGGATAAATTTGGATAACATCAAAAGTGTGATCTGGCTAATATTTACTACACATTTTGTTTCTTACAGTGTATGCTGTTTGTTTTTTGTTCTTTTTTTTAATAAAACAATATAAAATTAAATATTGAAAAACAATATTTTTCAGTTAATTAATGCTTTTCTTCCTTGAACAGGTAAGATCAGGATATGTGCTATACAAAGCATGCTCACAACTTTTTGTACAAAATCATTCTTAGATAATTTAACCTGCTCCAGCTCTGCCTAACGATTACCTTTCAGAATGAGCCGTTTTAGGGCCTCATTCACCCATTCTCACACATTGATGGTTGTGCGCTACTAGATAGTAGCCACAGCTGCCCTGGGGCAGTCTGACAGAGGTGAGGCTGCCATGCAGCGGCACCACCTTTTGGGCCTTCCAGCTGGCAAGGCAGGTGCAGTGACTTGCCCAGGGACACAATGACAGAGGAGGATGAAGCGGGAGTCGAACCATCAACCCGGTAATAGTGTGATGAACTCCTGCTATCATCGGCACCATCTGGGTGAAGGTCATCAATGGGCCGGGTTTTGCTGGAGTTGCTAGGTAACAGGCAGGGATTCGCTAGGGTTGGTAGGTGAGTGGCAGTGTCTATCCATTTACTACAGAAGGTTTTTGAAACAGCTCATTTTAAAATACCAAAAAACAATAACATAGAAATAATGGCTGGGTGGTTTCTTAAGTCCTCATCCTTGTCCTTTTGCTTTGGGGACGAGGAGCTGAGCTGAAATTCACCATGAGCAAAAAGTCTGATAGGTGAATCACTAGTATCAAAACATATGGGCTAGATAAAACTGGTTATCATTCCAAGTCCAGTATCTGTTTCTGTCACTAACCTTGAAGACCACCCCACAAATGGTGGTTCCGGTTTTTCGAGCAGCAGGCAAGCTGCATCCCAGATTATTGACTTCACCTTCCAAAAACACATTTCTGAAATAAAAAAATTAAATCATGAATATGAATGAATGATTTAATCAGTGTAAAGAGTAAAACAAATATCATCACCGGCAAATGCTCGTTCGTGCTCCTTCTCCAACTTTGTTGACTTCAAAGTTAAAAATTTGACAGTAATTTCCATTTCTCTGCTTACAACAAATTCCCATCAACTTCAGTAATGTGTATCTTTTCCATCCCCATACAATTAGATTAAGCACTTCAGTAGAAAACATTTGATATTTTATTACACTTGGATATTTGAATCTAAACACTTCATTTAGGTGGCTTTGAAGGGTTAAGTGGTCCGGTGTGCTTTTTTTACCCGATGCGGAGCTAAACTGGAACAGAGTTGTTCCAGTTTAGCAATTCTGTTCCAGTTTAGTTCACCTAAATTTCAGAAAGAATGCGGACTTATTTCGTTTCTAATTAAAACAACACACTAAACTCATTCAACAGAGAAGTGAAACGGAGCATGAGAAATAAGCGACTGCAACAGCGCATCAGAAAATCCTGAGTCATTGTAAGGCAACTTCACATGAGCTAGCATCCCTAAGCCGTTTGAAAACAAAACACGTCTAATAAACCTAGTGCTCGAACGATTAAACGTGTTGTATATAATTCTTAAATAACTTTCATAGATTTAAAACCGTTTACCTTCTACAATTTTCGAAACTGAAACCCGCCACGAGAGGTCTGCTCATAGTCAAAGTCGCCATCTTGGTGGATGAAGGTTTGTGTTTCCGGGAAGTGAAGAAAGAAACTCGCGAGAGATGCGGCATTTGCGGACTCCACGCATAGTGGGGAAATGAGACCCCCTGAAACAATGTCAAAAGTGCTCTTCTTCTTCTTCTTCTTCTTCTTCTTCTTCTTCTTCTTCTTCTTCTTCTTCTGCTTCTTCTTCTTCTTCTTCTTCTTTTAAATATGCATTTTATTTAAAATGGCACATCGACAGTTAACTTCAATAATAAATGAAAATGAAAGTCAGAAGACAGATGTTGGGTATTATGTGTTTATATTGATCCCCTATGTGGTGGTGGTGGTGGGGGGGATTTTATTTGTCAAAGCACAACACACAATAAAAATTAAAATAAAGTTAATAAATAAATAAAGTAATAATAAGAAAAATAACAATAAATAGCCATTAGCAGTGAAAGTCTTAAGGACACACATATAATGATCAGTATATTGCTAAACATATATTCAACATTTAAGTCGCACAGCTCTAGAGACTATGTATGTATTATAAAGCCTGATAGCCTCAGGCAGAAAAGACTTGCTGTGTTCCTTAGCACGTCTGGGTTGCAGTAATCTTTGACTATGTCTACTCCTCAGACCGTCCATGCCGTAGAGGGGATGAAAGGCATTATCCTTGATAGCTTGATATGCTGTGCTTCCCATAGCTCTTTTTTTAATTTCACTTTTTTCTTCCATTTTTCTTTTCAGCAACAAAATCTATATATTTTGAGTACACAATAAAACATGTGGAAAATTTCTAACAAGATGTTCACAAATGTACATAATTTTTTGTGGAAATTCCTGATAAGCAAGTCATAGCTTTCCTTTTGCTTCAGGGTAAAGCAGATATCTTTAATCTGGTGCCATGTTATGTCCTTGAACAGCACAGGTGCTAACTGGATGCCAGCTGGATGTCAAGGTCTAGTAATATGTTTTAGGAAATAGTGCACCACCAGAAAACATTGAGAGTGCATTATACTGATTAAGCTTTTTACTTAAGCCGGTGTTGGGCTTGGGGGAAGGGAAACAGCTGCTTGGAGATGTAATCGGTCGGATTTAAGTGGCCAATAACAAGGATTTTATGTACACAGACTTTTACTTACAGGAAGTGTGTCTGCTGACCTTCGTGTTGCAGCAGATTACTAGATTAAAATAAAGACTCATCACTTCCATTGCAACCTTTTGTTTTTTGTTTTAAAGATGTAACATTGCGACTTGGAATGAGGATTGCCCATTTTTATCAAAGTTCTTCAATCTCTCACAATCCAAAAACATGACTGTTAGTTCAATTGATTAATCTACATTACTTTTTGACACAAGTATGTAAGTATGTTTTTGTTTGTCCTGTGTGTCTCTGTGTTGTCCTGTGATGAACTGGCTACCTGTATGGATGGATGGATGGATGGATGGATCTGCCAAGGCATTTCTCAGTGAAACTAACATGTTTGCCCCTACTCATACATGTTTTTCAGGTTTAATATCTTCCTCCTACAATCCAAAGAAAGTTAAAAAATGCTGGGATCAAATCTGGTCATGATGCTACAAAGGACAGTGTGATAGCACGAGATAATTAGCTCCTTTATCAAGGAGACGCATAGATTTATTGGTGGAGTTGTTTTTATTTGCACAGCTCTTGGCAGCTACCAGAAATACGTTTGTCGAGATTCCAACTTGCTATGTAAAACAAAGTCGGTGAGACTAAACCAAAAATGCTCCACAGCTGTGTAAAGATAGTTCTTCTGGCATAAATCCCTGAACTTTTGCCTAATATAACTCTACAGCAGGGGCGCAACTACATATTATTCAGGTGGATGCGAAAACATAAATCGCCCCCCCCCCCTACCCCACCAAAAAAGGAAAGTACGTAAGGGTGAAGGAGCGTAGAAAACATATGGTCGCTCTATCGGTATGTTTACTCCCCCAGCCCCCCCACCCGAGACAAAGGCACGTGAAAGGTAAAACTCGCTACATTTACATTTACATGTGCGCGAGGTGAAGGAGCGTAAGGGCGCGGTGAAGTGGAAGGCATCATTGGGGCGCCGCCCCATCCAGACGGGGTTTTGACGCCCCCTCTGGTGCAGCGCCCCTATGCGTTGCATGCGCTGCATACCCACTTTTTGCGCCACTGCACTACAGCTAAGCAATAAACACACACCAACTCATGATGAAGACTAAATTCTGATTTGGAAAGCCTGATTGGCTGGAAACTTAAAAATGCAGTATGGTGTGTATACACATTAAAGTCACAACTGCTGAATTATTTATTTGTAAATACAGATAACTTAAGCACATGACATTGTTCTGTTGCTGTAAAAAAAATGTTGCATAAGTGTTCGGAAATGTTTATATTTTATATTCTTAACAGCTATCCTTATTAGTAAGCTGAACAAATAAACATTTTTGTACACAACTGTTGGTTTTAGCTCTTTAACATGACCGTTTAGCATTTATTCATGTAAATTCCTTCTAATTAACTTTTTAATACACAAGTTAGCAAAACTGAACAATTCTGCTGCATTCCAATCCTGTACATTTACTATTCAGCCTAATCTTTTTAAAAGAGTTATCATTGTTCTTTTAATCAGCATTCTAGTTTTATTTAAACATTTGCAAAAACAATGTGGTTACAGGTAAATCTAAAATTATTCACAATTATTCCACGTCTGGAAGATCCATATTTAAAACTATTTTCATTCAGTCAAGAAGTATGGTTGTGATAATAAAAAATAAAAATAAAAAAAAAATCTAAAAAGAGAATAATTTATTTAAGTGATTTTCTAATTTTTTATTACAAAGTTGGCATGTAGAAAATTGTTTATACTCATCTGTACGAAAAACTAGTTATTTGATGGCAGAGATTTTCAAATTTGACTAAATCTAAGACATTAGCTTTAGAAAGTAACTGTTTAGATGTTTTTGTAGAATTTTGGTTAGAGCTTGAACATGTTTTAATGAAACAAGCAGTAACTTTATTTTCATATTTTTTTCAGTCAGCATATGCAATGCTTTGTTGAGCTTTTTTTTTTTTTACATACAATCACAACCTCTCTTTGTTTGGGTTTTCAGTGGTAGATGAAGGACAGCGCAGGAAAAAGCCACCAGCTGATCCAAAATGCAGCAGCAAGAGTTCTCATGAATATGAGAGAGGAACATCATATTTCCTCTGTTTTAACTTGCCTTTAGCAACTCCCTGTGAAATTATATAGACCACTGTTCAGCTCTGTTAGTTTCTTCTTGTTCTTTCCAATTACTTATTATCTGTTCTGTCTGTTTTATTCTTTTAAGCATAATCTGGCATGCATCCTGACATCTGTGTCACCATCTTGGAAGGAGGAAATTAGTTACTGCTACCAATAACTTTACTTTGTTCTTCAATAGATTATATACTTTTCCCCACCTCTCTGTGTGTAACCCTGTCATTCTAGCAAAATCAATTGAAGGAGCTTTTAACTAGACTAACTGTTGTTACTGTTTTGATTTTATAACAGACGAGCTCATTTGTTTAGCTGTGTTTCTGCCATAAACATTTTATTTTTCTTTAACATAGTAAGTATTCCTGGATCAGTGCTTCTGTGTTTCATGTGTGTATGCTCTCTCTTCTCAAACCTCCAGTGGGCTGCAGGAGATGGTTGTTCCCACTGAGTCAGTTTCTGCTGCAGGTTTCTTCCTGTTATAGGGGATTTTTGCCTCTCCACTGTTGCTACATGCTTGCTTAGGAGGGATTGCTGATGCGATCTGTTGGGTTTTATGAGACAGAAAACTTTTTTAACAACTTGAATAATAAACTAAGTCTGATTGACTTAAACTGGAGTATATCTAACTGACTTTGAGTCTGTCAGATTGGACTGAACTGACTGTATATTTATACTGATAAACTGTATGTTTGAGTTAACATTCATCTTGAATTGGTGCTACATAAAATGATTTGTGTACCTATTAATAGGTACATAATAGACGTAATAATGAAATAGGATCATTATTCAATATTTGGAAGTGAAGATAAAATGAGGCATAGTTTTATCTTCAAAATATTTCTGAAATGCTGCATATGTGGCTTGCATCATTGTTAGAATAGCCCTGTAAAAGTTTAGACCTGAGAATTTGAGAAGATTAGAAAATAGGGTAACACTTTATTTGAAGGGGTGTGCATAAGACTGACATGACACTGTCATAAACATGACATAACACCTGTCATGAACATAAAGAAGTCTTTATGAATGTTTATGACAGTTGTCATGAAGTGTCATTCGGTAAATAATGACACTTTTAATGCAAAGTTGCTCTAAAAGTTGCATTGAAAGTCCATTAAAATGCCAACTTTGCATTAAATTATCATAATTTACAAAATCATGCAAAGTTGGCACTTTTAATGGACTTTTAATTCAACTTTTACAGCAACTTTGCATTAAAAGTGTCATTATTTACCGAATGACACTTCATGACAACAGTCATAAACTTTCATAAAGACTCGTTCATGTTCATGACAGATGTTATATCATGTTTATGACAGTGTCATGTCAGTCTTATGCACACCCCGTCAAATAAAGTGTTACTGAAAAGGATTGCTCGCAGATGCACTTCATCCAATCTGAATGAGCAGAAATGTGTCACCAGATGTACAAAACTGAGATATACCACCAGGACTGTAAGAGAGGCAACCTGAATTGCTTTAAAATGTAGCTCTACAAAAGACTCATAGGGGTGGTTACAAAATGCACATAATGATTTTAGATTTTTATTTATAAAATACTTTAAATACCAAACATCCTGTCCTTCATGGCTTTGAGTCACACATTAAGACTGTTTCCCATTCTTGATTCTTTCATTTTCTAAAATATCACATATGGTCTCCAGAGTTGACCTAGAGAAAATAATTCAGGCTTTTGTGTCATCTCGTCTGGACTACTGTAATCTCATTTTTACCTGCTTGGATAGGTCCGCAATTTCATGTTTGCAATCAATACAGAATGCAACAGTTAGCCTTCTCACCAAATCCAGTAAATTCAGTCATATCACTCTGGTTATATTCTCTACACTGGCTCCCAGTCGATTTTAGAATTTGCCTTAAAGTACTTGTGCTGACGTACAGAGCTCAGACTCCAGATTAACTTTGACAATTTTTAACTAAATTCTCCGCTGCTCTTGGCTTTTGTTCCAAACACTGGATCTCTTGGTTGCTCCTCGTATGGTTCTTTCAATCAGTGGCTGTGGAACAGTTTTCCCTTGCCGCTCCGTTTTTGCACACTGTGGATGTTTTTAAAAAGCAACTGAAAACAGTTTTATTTTCCCAGGCTTTTACGTCATGATTGTATTGTGTTTGTGAATTTTGTTTTATGCTTTTAGTAGTTTAGGGTTGATTTTTATTGTACTGCGCATAGTGATTTTATGTCTGTAAAAAGCACTTTGTAAATAAATTCTACTTATTTACTTCCACTTTTGCACTGTTTTGTGCTGATTTGTCATATAAAATCTCTATAAAATATATTGGAATTTATTTTCGTGACAAATTGGGAGGTCTAAGGTTTGTTTTGTATGACAACACTTCCTATTATTAATTTCAAGTTTTAATTTCAAGTTTTAGGAGCAATATTTTTAAAATAGACTACAAAAAAATAAAGTTTTTACAGCTTCATTACGATTTGTGACCTCATTAGTTTTTTTATGAAATATGTGCTTCCTTTTATCTGGAAAGGTGTACTGGCATGGGAAGCCTTGTGCTGATTGTACAGAAGAACATTCCATTAAATATATAGTAAAATGACAGAAAATCATTTTACAATTTGTCCTAAAACCAAACACACAAAACAAAACCAAACACACAAACATCTGAATTTATGTCAGCACAAAAGCATCAATTTTAATAAGGAAAGAGATAATTTGCTTACCCACAAATATATATTCACGTACATAAACTACAAGTACATCAAATGAATTTAATTTAACTGATGCAGCAGTAGTACAGAACAAAATTGAAGCAGAACTTGTTGAAAATAATAGGATAAACACAAATGCTTCATTACACAAATGTAAAGTAGATTTTTGACTTTACAGTCGTGTCTTGCATGTTGTTCTAGAACAATTCAGCTCATGTCCAACAGCATTTGGCGTGTAGCATCTCATTCAGCAGATTGTTGCAGGGCACCTCACCACTCAGATGTTTGTAGTACAGATAATCTTCAGCTAGTATGCTGAGGGAGTGTAGCTCTGACAGATACAGTTGCAGACAAGTGAAACGGTTGCAGGACTGCGATGATGAGGCCAGTGTGTACTTTAGGAGGGCTCCTTCAACCTGCTGCTGCACACTTTCTACAAAACGGTGTTCTTCAAGCTCCTTGACATCTGACAGAAAGAGTACAATCTGAGAAACTATTTTCAGGCTTTTATTAAAACTGTTTAGTGTGTAAGAAACTTGAACACATGAAGGTGTAGTGCCTGAAAACAGGACATTTCAGTGTCTGTAACTTATCTAAGCAAAAAACTACAAAGAGACAACAGGACTGTACCTCTCTGAAAAACTGAGAATTTGGGTGACTTAGGTGAGCTATTGAAATCTTTGAGAAAAAACTCTTAGCTTTGATTTTCCTCAGGTCATGTGGTCTGTAACATGGGCTTGTTTGAGTTAAAATCTTGTTTTTGTTCATCTCAGATTGTGTACCAGTCTTCTGCATCTCATAGTGGCTTATCAATAGACAACCAATGAACCTTTAATACACTTCAAAAGGGTACAACTTGGACACTCACCAGGGGCAAACAGGATTAGAAACCTGATGCAGGCAAATTCTTGATGATCTACCTTCAGCATTCGAAACTTCTCCACAAGCTCTGTCCCTCTTTGATTCAGGCTGACTAAAGTAGGGCCAGCATGAGACGCAACATATGACAGTTCCCCCTGGACCAAGAAAGCATCTGCTGACATCAAGATGGTGATCAAGCGTTCTCTGAACTAGAATAATTGTGTTTATTAGCATATTACTCTTTTAAGCATTTGTATTATGGCAGGACAATATTAAGAAAAGAGCAAATGTTAATAAAATTGCTATTGCAATTACAAAAATAAACCTACATTTTGCTCTGTTTTCTTTTTTTTTTTTTTTGTCTTCTGTCATCAAGATATTCCCACCTTACACTTTAGCATCTTTAGTCTGTATCAAAATTGAGAACAGTCAAGCACAATGGGAGCCCAGTAACTGGTCAAACATAATATTGTCATTCAAAGGATGAAGAGTGCTGACCAAAAATTATAGTTCAAGCACTCCTTTGAGATATCCATAAGTAGCACAGTGTTCTTACAATTTAACTTTGAGACTTGACATATTGTGCAGTGCAGCCTTTCACCTGTGGTCAGTTTATATGATAACATAATAAAATTACTTCATAGAAAATTAATTTGGATCACACTTAATACAAGAATATAATGTACAAGTACAAGTAATACATGTGAGCTTGTCACTGGTATTTATTTTTAAACAAATTAAATCAGAATGGATATAAAATCAGGCTCATCCCACCCACCTGCTGCCCACTGATCAGTAGCAGACCACCATCAGTGCCATAAAGTACCTGTCTGGAGATTATCTCCAGAACCAACAGCTCACTCCAGCAGCTGTGTAGCAACTTCATCTGGTCAGAGACCTTGAAAGAAAGAGGAACTGATACCATTGGAATATTATGCATCCTGTTCATTTCTCGTGTATTTTTAAGATTGAACTTATTTTGTCTGAAATTGCCCAAGTTGAGTATTGTGATTTATCTATTTTCCTAGTTAATTTGTAATTCTTGAGTCAACTCTTCTACAAAACATAATAGAATAGAATAGAATAGAATAGAATAGAATAGAATAGAATAGAATAGAATATTTTGTTTGCTTTACTTTTTGTCATATTAAATACGTACTATAGTAACTAGTATTTAAGACTCTTACCAGACTCCTAAGCTGTCTTCTTGGAGTTGGAGTAAGAATAAGATGACTAAGTAACCATGAACCAGAACTAGTGACATATGCAAAGCTTGTTTCTCTCGTCTAGTTAAGCTGTTGACCCTTGCCAGTTTGATCAGCAGTGCTGGAGCAACTATAGAAATTTCTTTACTGTGTTGTGATCAACATTGCCTGTTATGGTTTACCTGGATCATGGCAGACATTTTGGGGAAAACCCTTTCTGATCTGGAGAGATGGCATCCATCCCAGTTTGGATGAAGCAGCTTATCTTTCTAGGAATCTGGCCAAATGTATTAGTCTTCCAAAGCATAAACAACGCAGAGTCCAGACCAGGAAGCAGAACTTCTCTGCAGCTTCTACTGTTACCCACTTGTCACCAATTAAGACATTGTCTGGCCCATGGCCAAAATCAAATTGAATTAAGACTAACATAAAAAGAGCAAAGCAGAAAAATCTCATAAAAATTAAAACAACTTTCACTGAAAAGAAAAATAAAATAATTAAGTGTGGTTTATTGAACATCAGATCTCTCTCTTAAGACTCTCTTAAGACTTTGCTAGTTTATGACTTGATTTGTGATAATCAGATAATTTCTTGTCTTCTTATTATTTATATTTTCACATTTGTCAAAGCACAGAGATAGGTGGAGAAATAGCAACTATTTTTCATTGAGATTCATTTGTTAATACTATGTCTGTTACTAGCTACAGTTATTTTGAACATCTATCCCTTAGTTTTTCTTATCCTAGTTGCAAAGTACAAAAACCACTTTTGTTTGTTGTTTACACAGTCTACCAGGCTCTTACCCTCAATTTTCAGATTTTTAAAAAAATCTGATTGATCCACTACTTCTGGCAATGACACCTTTTAAGATAACCTCTGACTACATGAAATATTTGAGCATCAAAATGTCAAAAAACCCAAGAGACTTTTTCAAATTGAATTTCAGAATTCAGAAAAATGTACTAAAATCAAGGAAAACATAAAAAAATGGAGACATTATATTCTTGATTGGACGTGCAAATACTACTAAGATAGTCTCACTACCTTGATTTTTGTTTTTATTTCAGAATATTACGATTTTCATTACTAAATATTTTCCTGAAGCTTTTAGATTCCATTAACATACAATTTTTTTGGGAGTGCAAAACACAAAACACATGGCTAAAAGCCATCTTCAAACATCAAAAGAATGTGGGGGTTTAGGTTTCTTGTGTTTTTTGCATTCTAGCTGGGCCACCAATGTCAGAGTTCTGGTGTATTGGCATTATGGTTTAAGAAGGTGGATGAGTTCACCCTCCCTTCTTGGCTAGCCATAGAAAAATGCCTGACACGAAAGACTTCTCTTCCTGAGATCCTGTTCTCATCCCCAAGGCAGCCTGCGGTCTTTCAGCATGTGGACCATTTCATTCTGTTAAACACCCAGAGGATCTGGAATCAAATTAGAAAACATTGTGTGCTTCCACACACTTTGGTCCATGCTCCAATTTGTACAATAATGATTTTTGCCATCTCGTACAGTTACAGTTACAATTCAAATTTTTGATTTCAAAATCACATTTTTTAGGTATTTACAACTGAGGGTCCAACAGACTATAAAGTTGTATAAATTACAGTTCAAAAATAATTGATTGCTAAAATCACTTCTGGCTTCTCCTGAAGCAAAATATTTTATTTCAATGCTGGTTTGCTTCTTCTCAAGTATCTTATACTGTGTGACATGCAATGAGGTCAGACTTGGATGTGTGTTTCTACTGCTATGCACAAAAGAAAAATATGAAGAGCTCCAGAAGTTTTCAGTGAGGTTGAATAAATAAAAAAACAGAGGGTTCCTGTAAAGAAATATGACAACTGTTATCTGTTGTTTTTACAGCTGACAAAACTAACACAGCTGTCAAGGTCAAATCTGAATGAGTGCCATGATTAACCTTCTAACTCCAGCCAAAAATAAACATTCTAATTCTGACATGAACAGTCATATCACAATGTTTGTCAGATTCAGATTAACATATAACCAAGACACAGAAAACTAAAATCAAGAGATCTTACCTTTAGTTCCTTAAAGAAGATGGATGTACGAGCCCACTCCACAATAGAGCACAACAGCTGGTCAGCCATCACATACACTGAGCTGAAAGTGCTGGGCTCTCTGTGCCTGCAGGCTTGCTCCTGCTGCAGGCAAGAAAAGATATTTTTCTGCAGCTGAAGGTCATGTGGATCACAGTGCAGAAACTCTATCTCAAGCTGGGGTATCCTTGGACTTTGTGTAGAAATTGATCGGGAGGATGTGTGATGTGGACCAATGATTGCTTCAGCAAGGGCTGCCAATTCTACAGAGTTGCTGCAGTTCTCTAACTTCATAGCCCAGTTAGTCGGAGAGGTGATTTGGTGCTGTAATACAGCAGGTGAGTTGCAGGGCTGGGACGGAAGTTGGTTTGGATTTAGTTTGGTGTTGTGAAGGATAGCAATTGAGTGGATGTTGCTGGTAAAAGTAACATCTTTTTGGTTACTTTCTATTCTCAATCTTCTGGCTTGTATCAAAGCCTTTTTCTGTTGCTTGAGGGCACGATCATGCTTGTACATGGGGCCAAACTTGTTTCTGCCTCCTCTCATTCGATCTGCACGGACAGCTGATGGGGGGGGAAAATTAATCTATTAGTCTGTTTTAAGGTGACTTTGCATGTGATTATGAGATAAATTCTAACATTAAAGAAATCACATATTTCTTTTGGTATTTTCTGCTTTGAAACAACAGCAGGAAACATATATATAAATTTAAAAGACCAATGCTGTTGTTGGATAAAACAGAAGAAAACATTTTGTAATTTCTAAGGCAGAAGACATTTTGCCATTAATTTATCATATTAATTTCTAAAACTATCCCATGATGCCATGTAATGGCATCATGGGATAGTTGTGTGAAATAGTGGTGTGGATAGTTGTGTGAAATTTTAGGAACATTACAGAACTGTTGCGGTTACTGTGAAATGCTGAAGTTTCTTTGAAAAATAATTTAAATATGGGCAGTAGAAAATAACAAATTTATGCTAATTTTAATCTGAAACTTTATACCACAATTTGAAGGAAAACAGACACCAAAAGGCTCCTCCCTGCTGCTCTGTCAAATCCAGCCTGTTTGTTTTTCACAAGTAAAACAAACTATGAAAGAAACAGCAGCTTTGTGCAAATAAATAAATATATTTTATTGTTTTCATTTATTGTCAACAACTATCCAAATGCATATTGGACGTTTACATGTAGACTTTATGGAGACAGTTACGGACTGATAATTGCAGTGAATGGAACATTTTCTCCGTCTCAGATCTCCTTAAACCTGTTTTGCTCACCTGAGAGATTACAGCTGAGCATGTGGCTTAAAAAAACATTTTTGTTAATATTTCCATTAATTTAATTGTTTGCACTCACAGTCAGCTAACATTACACAATTGGATTCAGAAAAAAAAGCCCACTTTACCTTCTAGCCGCATTCCAACATTAAGGCACTTCTGAAATCTGCAAAAAGGGCATCTTTTTCTTTTACTTGTATCAATTTTGCACTGCTGGTTTTCCACACAGACATATGTCTTGTTATTTTGAACAGTTCTTTTGAAAAATCCCTAAGAACCAAGAAGAAACAATTTGATGAAAGCAGTTTTGTTGCTCCATATTGGTCTTGTGCTGTAGGAAATTAGTTATGGTTAACAAAAAGTATACTATAGTAGGGTTTAAAGTACCTTACAGCTCTCACAGGTGAGGATGCCATAGTGGTATCCAGAAACCTTATCTCCACACACCGGGCACTGCTCCTCTAAATCCACTTCACATGGGAAATTCATGTCTGAACTAGAGAAAAACATGTAAAACAAAATCTGAGGATTCCTTTGTTCTGTTCTGAAATGTGTAGTGAAAAACACAAACCTACACAAACAAGTTACAACTAAACATTAGGCTATTATTAAAGTCATTTAAATGAAAATCCAGAATTAAAACTAGGGTAGAAACAGAACATCTAAACCAGTGTAGGTTCAGCATAAATGCAGATATTGGTTCAGTACCCTTCCCTGATGGTCTTCCCTGTGGAATCAGCGTGGAGTCAGACCTACACATGTGCACTCATCTGCTTTTCTTCCAGTTTTACTGCTCACAGTGTCAATCTTGTCATCACCTGGAGGAGGGAAACCTTCGAATGTTCTTTTTCAGTGCCAAGGCTCCAACCAGAAGGCATGCTTAATGAGTCACCTGCTCATCTGATTTCCTCTCTGAGGGAATATATGCCTGCCAGTGACTTCTTGCTCTCTGGTGACTCCTAAAGTTAAATAGCAAATTATGGTTTCTTTATTTGTAGTTCTGCTTTAATGAGTAAATTCCACAATTCTACATTAAATCTGATTCATTTTTTTCAGTAGGCAAGAATTATATTTTCATTTTATGTTAAATCAAGAATTTTTGAAAAGTGTTATTCCCGAAACTTGCTGTCATATTTTGAGCTGGTGAAAGGACCTTATGCAGGGAGAAAGACTGAAGACAGATCCAGGAGCCACCAAATGCAACAGAAACAGTAAGAGGAATGAAGAGCCAACCAGTGTTAACAGGGAATGATACAACAGGAGTATCAGTCCAGGAATCCTCTCAAAAGAATTAATATATGTGAAGTCTAAACAAATTGGTTTTTAGCCTTGATTTAAAGGAACTCAGTGGTTTAGAGGTTTTCAAATTTTCTGGAAATTTATCCCATTATTTCTGGCAAGACATTTTAAAAATAAATTTATTTCTACATATTAAAAACAACTAAAATGGAGAACAATACTAACAATACATTAGTTAAAAGACAAATAAACAGAACAGCTGGATATGTTCTGTTTGAATTATTAATCAATTTCAAGATAAACAATAAAAACAATTATAAACAGCTAAAAACTTAGAAACCAAATTGTAATAAAAATAAAAATAGAGCAGAACAATAACATTATACAAAATGAAAACCCAGTCCTTATACAGAGCACAAAAAAACTGTTAGGAAAAGACAGTAACAAAATTATCCCACAATGTGCTGAGGCAGCTTGTTCCAAGAGTAAAAAAGGTCCCATTTCTGATTTACTTCAGTCTTCATCTAGAAGTGAGAAGTCAGCAGATGTATGTGAGGCGCATTTGTTTGAAAAGATCAAAAAACAATTCCATGCCATTGTTAAAAAAATAAAATAAAATGTTTAAGTCAATCCTAAACCAGAGACAGAATCTGTGGAGGGAAGGGAAGCAAAGTGTGCTTTCTGGCAGTTCATCTATTAAAAGATGAACTGCTGCATTTCAGGCCAACTATTCAGAGTTAGAGGCAATACAGATAAGTTATAATGAAGTCATTTACGACCATCTTAAAAAACTAAGCACACTTTAACTTTGATAATTATGTGGAAACATATAAACCTGGAGGCCATCTATGCTTTATTTGTATTTTAATCCAGAAAATTTTCCCATTTTGCTTCAGGGTCAGATAAATTTGTTTACAATCTGAATGAAAGTACTGTGACTTTCACAAAAAGAAACTGATGAACTGATGTAGGATTATTTTGATGTTCATAAAAGCAAAAAGTTCACAGCAGGAGAGGGAGAACGATTAGGTGATGCCAGCATTACGTCAGCCGATGCCTTCCTCTAGGAAAGAATCACAGCCAGTCAGAATGCCGGACAAGGTGTAGCTTCTATGGAGAGACAATAACAGAGAAAACAAAAAGTTAACAGCTGAAATAACATTAAAAGAAAAAAGAAAGAAAATTGGAGCATTGTGGAAGAAGAAATAAAAAAAAAACTTGCAACGACATCTCAGGATAACCTAAAGTAGTTATCCTCCTGACGCTAGGAGCCATCCTCCTGCTCCTGACACCAGTGTTGTGTTACTCGAAGTTGGTCTTGGTCTCGAGACCGGTCTTAAGACCATTTTTGATGGTCTTGGTCT